TTCACCCACATTTTTATGACGAAGACCAGAACTGCAGAGTGTTCTCGTGTTCCAGTGTTCTCGTGTTCCCGAGTACCCGTGTTCTCGTGTACCCGTGTTCTCGTGTACCCGTGTTCTCGTGTACCCGTGTTCTCGTGTGTCCGTGTTTCATGTTCCCGTGTTCTCATGTTCCCAAATACCTGCGTTCTCGTTTTCCCGTGTGTGTCCGTGTTCTCGTGTGCCCGTGTTCTCATGTTCCCGTGTTCTCAATTTCCCAAATACCTGCGTTCTCGTTTTCCCGTGTGTCCGTGTTTGTGTCGTGTTTTCGTTTTCCCGTGTTCTCGTGTGCCCGTGTTCTCGTGTGTTCTCGTGTCCGTGTTCTGTTGCCCGTGTTCTCGTGTTCCCGTGTTCTCGTGTGCCCGTGTACCTGTATACCCGTGTGCTCATGTGCCCGTACCTCTTTGCCAGCCTCGTGCACCATGAAGAGCAGGTTGGTGGAGTCGGAGAGGCTGAAGCTGAATCGGTCTTTGAGGGAGTTGGAGCCGTCGTGGTTGTAGCTGATCCGGTTCTGGTAGATGTCGTCCATGGTGAAGGAGCTGGTCTGGCGGTAGCTCTGGCCGTTGTGCGTTCGCTCGATGGTGCCGTGAGGCGAGGCGCTTGCACCACGGTGAAGACGAGCGACTCCGCCTGGGCACGGACAGAGAAACAGACTTTAAATGGTGTGTTTTGAAACGGACCTATTCTGCAAAATCAACTTTTCAGAGTTTCAGCAGTAGTAGTAGTAATAGTAGTAAGTAATAGTAGTAGTAGTAGTAGTAGAAGTAGTTAGTCCGGTTCCTTATATACTTTTGTGGGAATTTTTGGGGGATTTGCTAACCTATATATTTTTGCAGAGGTTATAGTTTATGGAGTTAGAAAATCAATGTTTGCATTTGCCCAGATGTCTATATGGCGGCCATATTGAATTAAAAGAAAAAAAAAAAAAAAGTGTCCTAAACCCACATTTTAAGGATCAGGGAATCAAATGGTGTTAGTTACAAAGCTGTAAAACTTACCCACATTAACCCTTAGATCAGGAGTGTCAAACTCATTTTGTTCCGTGGGCCGTATCCAACCGACTTTGATCCCAAAGTGTGAGGATCAGAAAACTCATGTCAATAAACCCCAAAAATAACAATAAGTTCAAATATTTGTGCAGAGAAACAAAAATCTATTACAGAAATCTTTTTTAATTGATGAACTCTTTCTTTTACTAAATATTATAATATTATGAACAACCTGAAACTTAAAACCTGAAAAATGTAATTTCAACACAAAGTTTTAACATTAACTTGTACGTAAATAGGAATAAGTAAATGTTTCTTGTAAAATCCTGCTCTCGGTTCCACTTTTCTCATGTTGGACATTTTTCTGATGAGGGTGTCACGGTCAACAGTCAAAACGATCGTCCTTTAAGAGCGTTTGGAAAGAGACAAGTCTTCATTTGTGCTGCTCTGGTGGGAGGGGCCACGTACAGAGACGCTGGAGACGCTGCTGTGATAAACACCACAGAAAAAATAGAATCAAAATATTTTAGTAGAAAATCAGCCGAGGGCCAGATTAAAGGTCTTGGAGGGCCGGATCTGGCCCCCGGGCCGCATGTTTGACACCTGTGGTTTAAATGTTTAGATTTTCCTCTCACATCAATTGACAGTAACACGTTTTTTTCTGAACATTTGAAAGTCAAACTTGAAGAGCAAGTGATTCCTGTTCTTTCTCTTTTCCCTGAGGAGCACTTGTTTCTTGTTCTCTCTCCTCTCACCTGATGAGTTGGATGCGGTGGGGCGAGGAACTTTCAGCAGGACTCCGGCCGTGGTGTCCAAGAAGAAGGAGATGGAGGAGACACTCTCCTGGAACAGGTTTGTGTAAGACGCCAAGTGCTCAAACTTCTGACTGAAGAATTTCACTGACTCAAACATGAATAAAAATGACTTTTACTTTTCAGTCCTGTTCAAAAATCTAGTGGAGTAAAAAGTAGAGATATCTGCTCTCAAGTGTAGAGGTAAAAGTAGAAGTATCCACTGTAAAATGTACTTAAGTACAGATACCTAAATTTTTTACTCAAGTACATTACTTTACTTTTACTTGGTTATGTTCCACCTCTGTTGTGTTCTCTGGTTAAACACAGTTTGGTGAGTGTCTGTGTAACATTCATTTTGTTGAATTTCATTTAAGAACGAAAAACAATATAATGAAAAACAGTTTATTTCATTTTTCCATTTTAGTGTCAAACCAAACAACAGATTTTTCTTATTTCCAATATTTTATTTAAAGTTTATTTCAAATAACACCAATCATAAAACAGTCTCGGTGCCTGTTTTAATGTTGATATTTTATTCTGCTTTATTTGAAGTTCTGCTGCTCAGTGTCGTCCGGGAATTTAGTTTCAACCACTGATTTTATTCTGGTTCTGTGGAGGCAACAGAGAGTTTCTCAGTGTTTCCTGTTTCTCGTTGTGGATCAACAACGACTTTCTAAGAAGTGAAAATAAAACACGTCGCAGTAAAAGAAGAAACATGTTTGTCCACGGAACTGCAACGAATTTTCAGGTGAGACTTTCTGCAGCAGAACTTCAAATAAACCAGAGAGAATCAAATATCAGCACTGAAACAGGCACCAACACCTTTTATGTTGGAAACAGAGGTCGAAATCTGTTTTTTGTTTGATACTAAAACAAAAAAAATGAAATAAACTGTTTTTTACGGAAGTCGAGAGGGGTCACAACAAACGCAAATACCCAACAAATAACAATGCCACAACACATTAAAAAGCCACAACACACCAAAAAAAGCCACAACGGAAGTGACCGCAGGACTCTATTTTAATACAAATGCCACAACACATTAAAAAGCCACAACACATTAGAAAACCACAACATATTAAAAAACCACAACACATTAAAAAAACTCACAACATATTAAAAAGCCACAACAGAAGTGACAGTGGGACTCTGTTGGTCTGTGGACCCGGGGCGGTCTGTGGGCCCGGGGCGGTCTGTGGGCCCGTCTGTGGGCCCGGGGCGGTCTGTGGGTCCGGGGCGGTCTGTGGGCCCGTCTGTGGGCCCGGGCGGTCTGTGGGGCGCTCTGTGGGTCCGGGGCGGTGTGTGGGGCAGTCTGTGGGTCCGGGCCGGTCTGTGGGGCAGTCTGTGGTCCCGGGGCGGTCTGTGGGCCCGGGGCGATCTGTGGGGCAGTCTGTGGGCCCGTCTGTGGGTCCGGGGCGGTCTGTGGGGCAGTCAGTGGGGCGGGGCGGTCTGTGGGGTGGTCTGTGGGGAGGTCTGTGGGCCCGGGGCGATCTGTGGGCGGTCTGTGGGGTGGTCTCTGGGCCCGGGGTGGTCTGTGGCCCGTCTGTGGGGCAGTCAGTGGGGGCGGGCGGTCTGTGGGGTGGTCTGTGGGGGAGGTCTGTGGTCCCGGGCGGTCTGTGGCCCGGGGCGGTCTGTGGGCCGTCTGTGGGGGGAGGTCTGTTGGTCCGGAGGGCGGTCTGTGGGCCGTCTTGGGCCCGGGGCGGTCTGTGGGCCCGGGCGGTCTGTGGGGCCGGGGCGGTCTGTGGGCGCTTCTGTGGGTCCGGGGCGGTGTGTGGGGCAGTCTGTGGGTCCGGGCCGGTCTGTGGCCCGTCTGTGGGTCCGGGGCGGTCTGTGGGGCAGTCAGTGGGGGCGGGCGGTCTGTGGGGCAGTCTGTGGGCCCGTCTGTGGGCCGGTCTGTGGGTCCGGGGCGGTCTGTGGGGCAGTCAGTGGGGGCGGGGCGGTCTGTGGGGTGGTCTGTGGGGAGGTCTGTGGGCCCGGGGCGATCTGTGGGACGGTCTGTGGGGTGTCTCTGGGCCCGGGGCGGTCTGTGGGGCAGTCTGTGGGGGCGGTCTGTGGTCCCGGGGCGGTCTGTGGGGGGGCGGTCTGTGGGGGCGGTCTGTGGTCCCGGGTCCCGGGGGGTCTGTGGGCCCGGGGCGGTCTGTGGGGCGGTCTGTGGGCCCGTCTGTGGGCCCGGGGAGGTCTGTTGGTCCGGGGCGGTCTGTGGGCCCGTCTGTGGGCCCGGGGCGGTCTGTGGGCCCGTCTGTGGGCCCGGGCGGTCTGTGGGCCCGTCTGTGGGCCCGGGGAGGTCTGTTGGTCCGGGAGGTCTGTGGGCCCGGGGCGGTCTGTGGCCCGTCTGTGGGCCCGGGGCGGTCTGTGGGCCGGTCTGTGGGGGGGCGGTCTGTGGGCGGTCTGTGGGCCCGTCTGTGGGTCCGGGGCGGTCTGTGCTCCGGCCGTGGTGTCCAAGAAGAAGGAGATGGAGGAGACACTCTCCTGGAACAGGTTTGTGTAAGACGCCAAGTGCTCAAACTTCTGATTGAAGAATTTCACTGACCCCTCAGCGTCTCCAGTCACCAGACACCTGCAGACAAGAACCAGGTCTGAACCAGGACTGAACCAGGTCTTAACCAGAACTAAACCAGGACTAAACCAGGACTGAACCAGGACCGAACCAGAACTGAACCAGGACCGAACCCGTCTCTCTCACCCGTCTGTGACCTTCATGACGGTGAAGGGCGCCTCCTGCAGGTGGACCGTTTTCATGTTGACAGCTTTTCTTTTTCCGCCAGCGAATCTTTTGAAGGTGCAGACCACGACGTCGCCCCCTGATGTCACCGTCAGGACCTGCGGCTCCTCCAAGTGAAATGCAGACTGCACCAGAGCGCCAGAAGAGGAAGAGGAACCAGCGTCCAACGACTCACCCTGAAGAGACAAGAGAGAGAGACGGGAGGGAGGAGAGAGGGAGAAAAAGAAAAGAGGAGAGAAGAGACGAAGAGAGGGGGTGGGGAGAGAAAGGAAGGGGGGAGAGAGGAGGAGAGGAAAAAGAGAAAGTGGAGAAAGAGTGAGAGCGATAGGGGAGAGAGAAAGTGGAGAGAAAGAGGAGAAAGAGAGAGGAGAAAATGGCGGTCTGTGGGGCCGTCTGTGGGGCCGTCTGTGGGGCCGTCTGTGGGGCCCGTCTGTGGGGCCGTCTGTGGGGCCGTCTGTGGGGCCCGTCTGTGGGGCCGTCTGTGGGGCCGTCTGTGGGCCCGGGGTGCTGCTGGTGTTGGTGGCCTCTCCTGGAACAACACAGGAACAGTACATGAATAACCACAACTACAACTACTACAGCTACAACTACAACTGAAACAACTAGTAGTATTACCAAGATGAAACCAAGACTTAAAAGGACTAAACCAAGATTAAACCAGGACTTAATAAGCTCAACTGGACAACAAGATCAAGAACTGTGAATAAACCGTGACTAAACTGTGACTAAACCGGCAGGTTTAGTCTGGGGCAGGGAGCTCCTGTCAATGTTCTCCTGCTCCAGCTCCTCCCTCACCAGACCAAATGCAGGTCTGTAGTTGACGTAGAGCTTTATACAGTCCTCCAGGTCCAGCTCCATCACATAGTGCCCCTTCTCTGCATGTCTGCTGTACTTCACCTCGTTCTGAAGGTCCTCAATCTGAGAACAAGACCACGACTGAACCACGACTGAACCACGACTGGACCACGACTGGACCACGACTGGACCACGACTGGACCACGACTGGACCACGACTGGACCACGACTGGACCAGGACTGAACCAGGACTGAACCAGGACTGAACAATGTTCGGAATGTTGGCCTCTTCTCTCTCTCTGCCCGGTCTAACTCTCTGGCGAATTTCGGCATCGGTATATTTGGGTTCAAAATGATATCCCATTGGCTCTGTGCTAAAATCAGTTTCTTCATCATCGGTGTCATAATCAGACATGTTGTTGCTGACATTCCGAGCAGTTAAAGTGAAACAGTGATACGTACGGAGAGAAAATAGCGCCAAGCGATTATGAGGTCTGACATTTTAGAGGAGTCCGTACGCAGTGCAAAAGTCCGACATCGCAGTCACGGAAGTCACATAAACGGGAAACGGTCGTTATCTGTTTTTTCCATTCTTCATTTAAACACAAAATCAAAAACTGAAAAAACGAATCGTTATCCATTTTTTAATTTTGGTTTTGGAGACAAATAGCGAAGAAAACTGTTGTTTTTTCGTTTTCTTATTTTTGGTTTTATATTGAAAAACGAATGAACGAATGATACACGGATTTTTAAAGTCGAGGGATTCTAACTCTCTCCTGTGACGGGACACAGACTCTTTGGTTCCTGTCCTTCGCCGCGCCTCAGTCCGTGTGTTCGTCTCACCTGAGGGGTCGTAGGTCACACAGGTCAGCTCCCCCTGGCGTCTGAACTTCCTCCGGGTGATGGTGCGTCGGTCGCGGGTGTCTCAGAGCGTGAGCGCGTCGTCCCTGCTCCCCGTCACCAGCAGGGGGCGTGAGGGGTGGCAGCAGAGAGCGCGGACGGGCTCGGGCTCCTTCTCCAGGATGCTCCGGGTCTCTTTACTCTTTGTGTTCACGTGGAGCACAGACGAGCCGGAGCCGCACACGAGGAAGTTCCTGCACACACGGACCAGAGTTTAGACATTGGACACTTTTATGAATGTGTGAAATGTATGAAATAAATAACCAGCAGAGGGCGCAGGGACTCGAGTAGTGAGAACACGGCTCAGGGTTAGTGAAGAATATTTAGTTGTGCAGAGAAAAGTGAAGCTCATGTTGAAGTGAGTTTGTGAATCGTCCATAATAACGCAGAGGAGGACTGAAAGGAGACCTCGTCCACACAGATCTTCGACCATGTTACAGTAGTTCCTCCTCACTGTCCCTCTGAACGTGTATTTGGACTGATTCATGCCTGTTTAATCTTCACTCCCCTGTATTCAAGACACTGACAGTTTTATTTTCATGTGCTGCGTTCTCTTGTTCTCGGGACTTTCTTTCTGAAGATTTTCACCAGTTTAGGAGTGTAAAGATCCAGCAGTGACATAAACTTTGAGGTCAACGGCATTGTGGTGATTCCTCTGAACTCTGCATTTATCTAAAAGACAGTGAAAGAAAAATGTATTTAAAAACATTTTCTTTTGTTATTTTTTCCCTGCCCCAAGAGCCAAATTATAAAGATATATAGCCTGTAATCTTTGTGGCGTTTCAAACGTCTTACTCTCTCCCTTAAAAAGGTAGGTGTGTTCTGATGTATTTTTGTCAAATTAAAAAATCTGACATTAGAGGAGTTTTGGCCCAGTGTAAAACATGGCCCCTGTAGTAATTTCTTAGTCTGTCATTGTTTACAATCAGGAAGTATGTTCAGGGCAGGTAAACTTTGCGCATGCGTGTTGGCTCACATTTGAGCGCGCAACAAAGCAAGTCAGCTACGGAATACCAGAAGGACAAAACTCTTGCTTTATATTTAAGAGCATTCCGTAATCCCTTGCAAATAGCCTTGAGTAAAGCCAAATATTGAATGTATTTCATGATATTTACACACTGTAAACCTGAACAAGTTAGCAGAACTTAGGCAATAAATTGCCTCAATTATTTTAAGTTGATGAACTTAGAAGTCACAGTTTTCCAGAACTTAAAAGATTTGATGGCTTGCTACCTGTACCTTTTGATAAGAGCTGAATTAAAAGTGCTCGTTTAGCTCAACTCAAATATTTGCAGGTAATGACTCATAGTTTTCTGTTAAGCAACTCAATTATTTTAATTTATTATGACTTACAATTGAGTTTTTTCAAACCACTGGAATACGCTCACAGAACTTTAAAAAATAAAGTACACAATCACATCATTTTATGTTAACCAAACTCAAATGTTTACTTCTTACTAGTGTGTTTTTGCCCGCTCCCTTGCATACTGAAATTAAATAATAAAAATAGTGCTTTTTTGGCCTTATTAACTATTTGTTTTGCATTATGGGTTGGGATCGGGGTCTTGATGTTAATACTAGCTGGCGTGATGTTCTCGTCTCTGCATCGGAGATTGAAGCGTAGGTGGTTGTTGTAGCGGGCGCGCGCCTTTTCCAGCCTCTCCAAATGGCGAAGTGCTTTGACACCTTTTTGTCCAAATCTTCTTCTTATTAAGCCCAATGAAAACATAATGAACATCATTGGCTTAATAATAAATAATAAAAAGTCATGCAGTGTGCTTTCCTGGGTAAGCAGGGCAGAAATTACAATGGAATGGCATATTATCAAAACTATATGAACAAATTCACAGTGACTACTGGGTCTGAAGTGTAGTGCATAGACCAGTCCAAAGACGACCATGAAGGCTTCACCAAGTCTGGGGAGGCTGACCACAACATCACCTTCCACGATGACAGACACTCTCCGAGGGTGGTAATGAACTGGACTTGCGTTATGGTCACTGATGACTGTAAGGAGGCCCACTGCAACACCAAACACTGGCTCATCTACCTTGACCTGAGTGAATGAAAAAGATAATTACAAACTAAGACATGCATCAGAGAACAGACGATGTTGAGTTTTCTTTTAGCACAGCACCCATTTCTCAGTCCCCTTGCTATGACCATAAGTGTACAGCAGCAGCAAGCTGGTTTAAGTTCACTTATTATGGTAAAGCAAGGTAAGCAAAATGGAACATGGCATCTGACAAAACAGTCCAACAGTTCCTCCAACAGTCCAACAGAGGAGAAAGAAAACAGACCATAAATGAAAACTGTATACATAGACGTTAACAAAAGTCTAAACTGTTTTGCATAATACACAGTATGATCTGTTGGTGACTTAAGGAAATAGTGCATTATTAACCTTGTACCATATACCAATTGTACCATGTACTGTGCAGAAATTTGGTGGTCAACATGTAAAATTTACCTATAGCCATTATTTATTTTACAGAAAAGGGCCTTGAGAATTATCACCAACAGTCATTATAGAAAACCTTCCAACCCATTTGTTAAACTTGGTGTTAAAAATATATATTGTTGACTTTTCCTACAACGTTCGATTTTGGCATCTAATTTCAAAAGGTTATAACTTAAGTGATAAGAGATGGAGACTTTCTGTAAATAAGACAAATATTAAGGATGACTGAAAGTTTATGTAGGGATTAAATGTGCCCATCTAATTTGCATATTATGACATCATATGGCTGCAGCCATCTTGGATTATAGAATTTTCATTCTAATGATAAAATGTAGTACTTCTTTGCTCCCAAAATGCTCCTCACCTTGTGTATACTATATTCCACAATACTGAGTGCTCAGATATACAGTGAATAGCAAACAAACTGTAAATCATTACTACTACTAATAACTATTATAATCATAATTGTTTAGACCTGGTTCAGACCTGGTCCTGGTTCAGTCCTTGTTCAACTCTGGACCTGGTTTAGGCCTGGTTTAGACTTGGTTTAGACCTGGTCCTGGTTCCAGGTCTAAACCAGGTCTGTTTAGACCTGGTTCAGACCTGCTTTAGATCTGGTCCTGGTTTGGTCCTGGTTTAGACCTGGTTTAGACCTGGTTTAGACCTGGTTCAGACCTGGTTCAGTCTAATGTTCAGTTCACTGTAATATTATGATACTGTTAATGTCTTTTTATACTTTATGAAACAAAAAAAGAAGACTCACTGTGCAGGTTATGAAAAATCCAGAAACGTCCTCGCGCAGATACACAGGAAGGGCCTGGAGAACAGTAGTGCGCTTGCTGTGAATGTCATGGGCTTCCTATTCAGATAAAAACAGAATAATTGTACAAAGTGAGAAGTTCATTTAAAAGCTAATTTTAAATAGTGCAATCAGAAAATATGTGTGCACCTGCTCACATATTTAATACAGTCATACAAATGACAAAACAAAGTAGATTTGCAAAATTCACAAAGCTCATTTGAATTTTTTACCTGTTCATCGTGGATTTTTAAAATGTTAGCCAGAGCATCTGCTGTCTTCCCAGTTCTCGATGCCTTCTGTCTGAATAAAGCCATGAGTCGAGGAATATGGCGGTCAAGCTCACTGTAGAATGTGCTGGGCATGTTTGATTTGTAATCTGCTGGAACTCTGGATACAGCTACAGTACAAAAATAGGAGGGAAATACAGCAACACTTAAATTACTCATTTTAGGTAAAGCCAGTGCAGGTTTTTATGCAAATGAGTAAGAATCACAATTTTGACTTTAAATGAGTTGATCCATATTACCTCAGATTCTGTTTTCAGAGCAGGACAGAGGTGTAGGCGCGCGTATGGAGCGGTAGAGCACATTGACAAACACAGACCCGGAGCTGCGAGGTTACGCGCGTAAACGTTGACGCGTGCAGTGGGCACAGCGCGTAGGGCACCTATGCACGGTCACCACGTGAATCCGAGCAAAACTACTGTTCGTCCCCGGTGTCTCCGGAATAACCCCGCTACTATGGACGCATAGTTAATCAACAACCGCGCCATTTCTACAAACTACAGTGCTCAACAGCAGCACGGAGAACCCACCGGAGAGAAAGGGAAGAGTGTCCACCGCGGCGCCCCGCTCAGAGCCCAGCGGCGGTCAAGGCAGCTCCGGCGGCTCGGAGCACTAGCTATTCACCGCTCGTCTCACATGTTCTCCCAGGACTTATACCTTTAACTTCACTTAGTGCGCAGAGCAAAATCTTTTCATTTCTTACCTCACCGTGTCAAGTGTGGTATTTACGTTCGCACAAAAGGCGGTCGGGCTAAACTGTAACTAAAATCAAACTTTTCCCTCCTAAGCAAACATGAGGGTATAATCACATATGGTATCAAAAATAAACGGCGATTTTATGGCTTTGACGCCGAAATAATAATTACAATAAGAATAATTAATTAAACAATATTTATTTATTAATTTTTTTTAATCATCTCCAAGTAGATTACTTTACGTGCCTCTGTGCGTACATATAGGACACATTTATAAAGACAAGTCTAAAAGTATATTAAAAAATTACCTTTAATCGCGGGGAAACAGAAGCAGCCGTCGATATGACGAGGTCTCGGTCACGTGGCTGGTGGATGGTCCAGAGGCCCGAGCACGTGGCACGCATGTCTCTTCTGCTGAGTTACTGAGCAGAGTCGAGTGAGGCTGTTGCCAGTGCTGCCCCCTAATGTTGGCGGGTTGACTTGTCACAGCGCAAGCGCAAGACATGCTCAATGAACAAATGTTCATTGGGTCAATTTACTAGATGCAAATTATTGGTGATTTGCATTAGCCAATTAAATGGACATCAATTTTTTAATTTTTTTTTAAATACAAACACAAGATTCAATTCTTATTGTTTAAACTGCACAGGTCAATTTGATTTTCTTAATTAAGCCTATGGTGTTAACAAGGGTCTAAGTGTAATTGAAATTGTATTGTATTTCAGCATGTACTATGTAAATTAAGTTTATTTTTAAATCATCCCTATTTGAAACAATAGAAATAACAGGACTTTATCAATCTCAGCATTTAATTACTTAATTCAGTTTCCCGCTGCCTGATAACGTTTGCGTAGTGACGTCAGACCCGCCGATTAAAGGTAAGTGTTAAGTATGTATGTATGTATGTATGTATTTATTTATTTATTTTTTTTTGTAAGGACTTTTTTACAAAACAGATTTAATATAACTAAAATCATAAATATACGACGTGATGAGCTGAAGTCAAGACATTTAACTAGAGTAACTTCTTAATAAAGTAATAAAACAGCCTACTTTTCCTCTTAATTTAATATATTGTGAATAGAGTGTAACAGGTGTGGTTATTTTTCTCACTTTGAGGAAGTTTACAAGTGATTAAAGACATCCTATTTTAATAATAAACTCAGCCTACTCATAAAAACAAAGTGTTCTTATTATATTAGCATTATAGTCATGGAAGTAACTATAATAACAATAATAAATCTACATATACTATATCAGTGATTCTCAACCACTGTGCCGCGGCACACTAGTGTGCCGTGAGGGATCATCAGGTGTGCCGTGAGAAATTATCCAATATCACTTTTTTAAAAATAAAAATGTATTAATTATTACCTGCAAATATTATGTCATTGTCGAATGTCTGCTGTAGTACAGTGGAGTATATAATGACTGGCAGAGTGATCTAATATTCGTCCGGGTGGCGACAGGCAGCTAATTGCCTCGTTCCTTTAAATCAGGGGTGCTCAATATGTCGATCCTGATCTACCAGTCGATCTCCAAGGTCGTGTGGGTAAATCGTCGTGTCTCGTCTCGGACTCGCGTTTGGACTCGGTCTTGTCTCTCACTCGAGGTCTGACACTCAACAAGTGTGATCATATTTCATTACGGCCGCTGCTGTTGGTAATAAACTTGTAGCGGGTGCAGGAGCGTGTGGGGCGTCTCAGTGCAGCCTGTGCGCTCATTTGAAACCCGCGGAGACTCTACGGCGCATCACAAACACACACGCTCCCTATGCACGGCTCGTCTGCGACAGCGTGTGCCCTCGTGTACCAGCGTGCATCACAGGGCAGGTTCAACTTCCTAAACATCCTACCTGTCCATCTGCCTCACGTCAGCACGCCGCCCCTCGCCTTTTCACGCTCTCGCTCCTTCCTGCGTACAGCCAACACAAGCCCCTCCCACAGTGCGGCTGATTAGAAGAGCAAGACCAAACGTGAAGCAAAAACCAGTCTAAATTTGTGTTCCAGTGTTGGCACAAAGCAGGTCTACAGCATAGAGCGGATCTACAGAACAGACCTACTGCCACATTTGGCTGAAGTTTGTCTAACAAAAGTGACAAATGCATCTGTGTTTGTCACGATGTGCGTTTGGTTTGGTAAATGTGCAGAGGCTGGTAAATATCACTGCAAAACCAGAAAAGAATGAAACTCCAGTTTGGAACTTTAAAAAACAGGTTTAAAAATCTTCCTTCACTTTTTTCACAGTTTTGTGTAAAGTGCCAGAGGAAGTTCTCTTAAAGAAGAGGTTCTCAAACTGTGGGTGAGGGTCCAAAAAAGGGGCACAGAGTGTTTCACTGCAGTTTGTTTGGCTTTGTATTAGGTAGATCTTTATGACTTGGTCATTTTGTAAGTAGATCGCATGATGAAAAAGTGTGAGCACCCCTGCTTTAAAAGAATTAGTAACGCATGTGCATGGTGACAGTCATGGAAAAGTTTTTAAAATGGACGAAGGCGAACTCCGAACTGGGCCCTGGACAAGATTCTGACCCAGAAGAAGAGCTTTTCAAGCTTAACTGCTATAAAAACTAAAAACAGAGAGAGACAGAGCTGTTGATGAAGAGCTTTGTGTGGGTCTTTCTTCTATTCCTGCCAGGATATCAGCTTTATTCATCTAAACAGGCGCAGGTAAGTAGAAATTAATGTAGAAAGTATATTGTAATTAAATATACTGTTTAGTGTCATTTTGTAACATTTTGGTTAGTGGTGTGCCGTAAGATTTTTGCAATTTAAAAAACGTGCCGTGGCTCAAAAAAGGTTGAAAAACACTGGGTTAGGCAGTCGTGTGCGTCTGGGAGAACTGGACAAAAGGGTCTATCTGAGTGACATGAACACCCTACCCCCCCATGTCTCAACAACCTACAATTAGGCCACAAAGAACACAGTCACGGGGCAGGGCCCAGGAAACCAGAGACCGGCAGCACCAGGAAGCTCTGGCGGGTTAGAATAATTGTTAAACACTAACTGCACTATTCGTCCTGGTCTGGCCTTTGCACTTGGCGACATTCCAGTGAAACGTCTAAGATGGACTTTTACTTTTATCTTTTTTTGATGTGAGGCGGTGTCCTGTTTTTTTTATTTTATTTTATCTGTGAGCAGTACTGGACCTCAGATCACTTCTGCTTTAACTAAATGTTTTGGTTTAATCTTTCCCAAACAGTAAGAGTAAACAGTGTAGTGTTGTTTTTCTGACATAATGGTGGGAGTGAGGCGGCTGTGTTTAACAGACTGATAGACGAGAAGAGACGAGCCAAAAAAACTGCACTCAAGTAAAAGTACAAAGCAGTAGTCCAATAAATGACTGAAATAAGAATAAGGAAACTACCTACTCGAGTAACTGGACGAGTAACATCTGATTTAGAATTTGTGTCATATATTTGTGTACGTTTATCTAAATGGAAGCACAAAAAGATTCAAATAAAGCACAAACACAAGCTGCCGGACAAAATGAGACAAACTAAATCATGTTTGAAGGAGTGAGGCAAGAAACACAAATCTTAAAAGTTTTTGTCACTTGTAGACAGGAACCAAAACTGGTGTCTGAAAACTACTCGAGTAAAAGTTACTCAAGTAAAAGTAACTGTAGCTGGTCTGCTGATAGGAGCCCGGAGCCTTTAAAAACATGGAGACGACGGAGAGAGACGTGACAGACTCCACGTCCACGCTGCAGGTAAGATTCACCATCACACTTTGATATGAATCATTTACACATTTCTGTGTTTTTTATTTAAAATTTCCTTTCAACAAATTTAAGAGTTTATCTAAAAAAAAAACCTTTGTAATTCACTTTCTTGTAATAAATGGGTATTTTACATATACTCATGTTTAATTTAGTAACACTTTTAACATATTTTACTCAGCTATTTTTTATTTAATAGAGACAATTAGTGAACATCTGTAATTACCGTGTAAAAATAAGACTTATATTAAAAGTTAATTTCCATCTTTTGTCTCTTTGTTGGCAGGTGACACAATACTACTTCTACTAAAATATTCATGTACATGTAACATAGTACATGTAACACTAAAAAACTCATTTCAAAAATATATAAAGCCCTACAGATTGACTCAGATGACACAATAACAATATGGGCATTAAAGACAAATGGATAAAAGAAAGAAATATTAGAATATTAGAGGAAAACTGGGAGAAATCATTTAAAGACACAGTGTTTCATGGAGAGAGTTTAAACGGAAATCCAAGATGCAATATTTAATTGTCCCAACACAGGGAACAAAATACAGCACAAAATCTGACAAATGCTGGAGGGACACACACGCATATTATGGGACTGTCCCTTAAAGGTTGTATGGAGGATTTTTTTTTTTTTTGTCATTGTTTTAATTATGATGAAAAAAAGAGAATAAAAATTCATCAACTCTGGACGTGGTGGGGCTAAACATTTGCCAATAGATAACGACACTGCCTCGTTATCTGTGAGCTGACAGGCTGTCAATCAAACTCCCTACGTTTCTAGCGTAACTGACTTGTCTGCGCCGCCGTTACGTGGTTTACGTACGACTGTCACACAGTCCACAGACGCAAGACGCACAGACGCTGTTTACTCCACCAACGCAACAGTTCTTAGCGGCTTTTTTTGACCTATATCTTCCTCGCAGTTCGCACAAAGTTTGTTGCAATGGCGACAAGAATCCAGGAGCAGTTCGCCGCAAAAGAAAGTCCGTTTTTTGAGGTCGCTGAAAGAAGAAGACAAGGGGAAAAGCAGCGAAGCCAAACTAAGGTGATTCTTGAAGATTCATTCCAGCGATGGTGCGACTGAAGCAGACGCAGGGTCTAAAGACTGAACCACTGGTCCACAAATTACTCCTGGACAGGAAACTTCTGCTTATTATGAAAACGTACTTTATTTCCAAGAGTTAGACAAACGTTTTTCAGGACACGAATGTGATATCCTATGTCTGAAAACGTAATTTTCAAGGCAAAGAAAGAGTCCGCTTGCTGCTGCGTGTTGTAGTAGTAGCTAGTTCATTCGCACGGAATCTCTGCACCCCTCTCCTCCTCTCTCCTCTCCTCTCTCCTCTCTCCTCTCCTCACTCCTCGCTCCGTTCTTCTCCCTGCTCCTCACTTCTCGTCCGCGCACGAAATATCCGCGCCCCCCCTCCCCCCGCTCCTCACTTCTCCGTCTTGTCTAACCAACACTGTAGTTAGTTGTTTACAAGTCATGTGCAGCACCGGCTGTAAACAAACCTGTTTCTGGCGTAAAGAGGAGGAGGTGTTTCTACGTAGGAGCTGTGGGGGAGGGGGGGTTTCACGCATGCGCAACATTTGAAAAAGGACAAACAGTCGCTGGATTTCTCCGTTCCTTGGAAAATCCTCTAT